CTTGCTGGACTGCATGTCTGTCTGAGTGCTGGTTGGCTTGCGTGTGTGTGACTGAGCCTGTCTGAGTGCTGGTTGGTATGAGTGTGTGTGTGGCCCGCCAGGGCACTTGTTCGTTCGTTGGGCCCTCAGGACAGGTACTTACCTGTGGCCGTGGCTTCGAAGGGTTGCGGCGGGGAAAAAGCACTTAAGTAGCGGGTAGGCCGGTACCGCACCCGGCAGGGGGGCAAATATGCAGGTACCGGAGGCCGAGCAGAAGAAGACAAAAGTGGCATTTTTGGAGGCTGGTAGTGTAGGCTAGGTCTAGCGGGTACCAGTCTGAGTCTAGGGCCTGTAGGGGCAATATCAGAGTCATGTGATCTACCTACTCACCTGCTGGATGGAAAATGAAGTATCTTGACATACATGCCAAGTCTTTCTACAGTGCTTTGTCTTTTCATCACTGAACGGTTCTAGTCTGTAGGTTATGCCAGAAGTTGAAATTTTGTTTTTCAGTGCAGTAGAAACTGAACTAAGTTCAGGGGGAACTCCCCTTGCTTGGGACCTGGTTGAGACCTACGTGGGACCCTTGGGACCAAGCGGGACCCTTGGGACCCAGCGGGACCGGGCCCAAACAAGGAGAGCCACTGGAACCAAATCGATTAGGCATTGACCTCTCGTCTTCTTGGCTGGGATACGAGTTCATTCTTCTTGGATTAGGACACCCACTGCCGAGGGGATCTTGGCTGAGACGTTTCGCATGTATTTTGATCGCACTATCCTTGACTCGTTGTCTGATTTGTTGTACGGACACGGAGCTGGTCAGACTGGACTCGAGAGGACCTCGTATGCAGTCTAATCAGACTGGGTCGATGGATCAGACCTCTCATTGAGTTTGTTTGTGTCTTTTGATTCTCTGCTCTCTACTTCCAAATGAAATGCCGCTCCGGCTAGGAGTTCTACCTTCTATTCTCTGAGCTTTTCAGTCTGTTTTTCTGAGTTCATTTCCGATGCCCGTGGAGACTCGCAAGTTGAAAGAAGAGAGAGGGAGGAGAGAGAGAGAACAGAGGGAAAGTGATCGTCTGAGGTGGGCTAGGACTGGGAAAAGGAGTGTTCGTCCAAGCGGGAGGGGGAGTGAACCTCTTGAGAGTCTAATTGATTCTTTTGTTGATTGGCGACTCTCTGACCCACCTGTCCATACTGACAATCCAATAATGGCTCAGCTAACTTCAGTTCAGTGGCGAAACTTGTTAGATGCAGCCAGTGATGTTGAGAAACCTTATCTGCAAGCACTTTTAGGAAGTGCAATCAAGAGAGAACAGGAGACGGAGAAGGAGAGGAAGGAGACCTTGCTGAAAAGGCAAGTGGCCCTCCTAGAGATTGTCCCCTCACCGACTGAAGAGCAGTGTGGGGAACAGTTGCAGTCCATCCTTACAGCCTTTGTTCAAGTCAGGAATCTTGAGGACCATACCACTCAGATCGCTGAAGTCGTTGCAAAGATGCAAACACTTCAAGATGATCTGGCTGATATGACCCGCAAGTACCATGAATTGACAAAGGAGGTGGCTGACCTGCGACAAGCCCAAGTGGCCAACCCTCTCCCTCTACCCCCTGGATCTGAAGCTGCAATCGAAACTACCTCTGCCCCTCTCACCATATCTTCTTCTACCTCCTCCTCGAGTGTGATGGCAACCCCCTCGAGACCTGCAGCAGGCGCAGATTCCACTGTTGCTGTAACAAGCAATGAGGCTGTAACTTCTGCAACTGATGCAACCCCAAGACCAGAGCCAGCTGCTGCTGGTCCCAACCACGCTGATTCCTGTGTGGACCGAAAAGCGGTACAGATACCGTCTAAGTACGACGACAAGGAAGACATCGAGTTCTGGATCGGCTCCATGAGGGCCTACTTTGAGATTTTGTGGACTCAAACTGAGACCCAGACGGTGATCATGGGAATAAATGTCGAGCCGGTTGTACGGGGCTTCTTGGAAGTCCAAGCGACGCGGGCTTGGTTCCAAAAGACGACACTAGCCAAATGGCTTAGGACCACCCCGGTTGCCTCCCTCGAGGATCTCCTTATCACACAATATCAGGATCTACATGCTGCTGCTAGAGCCAGAATCCAACTTGACAAAGTCAAGCGCAGCAAGTGGAATATATCCATGAAAAGCCTGCAGACCTATCTAAGCAAGATGTTTGCTACTCCTGGTTTGGAATTGTCTGCTCAATCTTGCTTAGATGTGGTTAAGGGCGCGGTTCCAACTAATTTCACTAATCGCCTGTGCAGGGACTACATTGCATACATTGATTGACTCACCTTAATGAAGGACATCGTCAGTTTGGAGGCTATAGACCTCGTTAGCACGCCAGACAGCAAAAAGCCCATGGGCGGCAGACGGTTCCAGGGCAGCAACCGTTTTGTTGTGCATGACCTGTTGAAGGCCGAAGAAGAAGCCGATGCGGGTGACCTCACTCTTGGTGACGACCAAGAACAAGACTCCGATACAGCTTGTTCTTCAGCCCATGAGTCCGATTTAAATAAAGAAGAAGAAAAATTTTCTGCCTTTAAAAAGACTGTCAGTACTAAGGGACCGAATCGGAGTGTCGGAAAAGTTATGTCCAACTTCCCAAAGGAGTCAAGATCCCGCCTAAACCGGAGGATGCAACTACCAAACCTTGGGTTGACCTCCGGATCACTGAGAATGACTGGCGGGATAGACTCAAGAAAGGGGTTTGCCTGCATTGCCAAAAACCAAACCATAAGGTTCAAGACTGTTATAGGTTGCGGGGAAACCAAAATCGGGCGTAGAGTCAGATTCAGCAAACTCTACTGCAGGGGAGTCCGGTTCTGTTGAAAATCAGCAGCCCTCCCTTGAAGCCCAACCATCTGCTGAAGACAAGGCTGAGGTAAGTAATGTCTTGTATGTCGAGCCTTGGGAGGAGTCTGAGATGGTTGACTTCCACTACCACTTGGAGCATTGGGTTGAGATGAAACAGCAGCGTGCCCAGGGGACAGTGAAGTTGATCTTCTTTAAACTTCTCATAAACCACCGCTATCCGCGTGTGTTGGTTGACTGTGGTGCTATAGCTAACTTCATGTCACCACATTGGATACGCAAGGTGGGCTTGGGGATGAAGCAAGTGGCCCTGCAGAACCCTTGCCGGACCCAAGTTGACAACAAAGAAGTTGTCTCTTCAACACATGCAGTCAAAGGTGTGCGCACTACCTTTGACAAAGGCAAGACCGTCACCCACACACTGAACTTCTTTGTCCTTGACAAGTGTCCCTTCGATGCTGTCCTTGGCTTGGGCTGGCTGCAGTCCCAATGCGAATGGACCAAGTGGAAGAAGTCACTCTTCATGGTCAAAGATGCTCAGGGGAACAAACTTTTTGTCCTCCTGGATGACAAGCACGAATCCCAGTGACTTTTCTTAATGCATTGAAGTTCTGCAAGAAGCGGCGCAAACACAAAGAGGACGAAGAGTTGTATGTTGCCTTTGTTCGTCCTGCTCATGTGCCTTCTACTTTTGCGGCTAATACCACTGCTACTTTGATTGATGATCTTACTTCAGGTACTTCAGATTCGGTCGTCTCTATACGCGACTTGTGACCGGATCTTGGCGATCCCTTTGCTGATTCCCCACCCCCACCTGTCCCATCAGACATCCAAACCCTCCTCGATCGGTTTCCGGAGGTCCTGGCCGAGCCATGTGGAGTCCCTACGCGACCGGTCCGACACACCATCGAGCTGGTCGAGGGTGTTGTTCCTCCAAAGGGTTGCATATACCGTATGAGACCCGGCGAGTTGGAGGAACTCCAGCGACAGATTCATGAGATGATTAACAAAGGATGAATAAAACCTAGTGAATCTGAATTCGGTGCTCCTGTGTTGTTTGTGTCAAATGAAGGAGGCAAACTCCGCATGTGTATTGACTATCGCGGTCTAAACCGCATCACAAGAAATAATGTTTATCCATTGCCTCGTATAGATGACTTGCTTGATGCCGCAGGTGGATGCAAGGTCTTCTCCAAGATCGATCTCAAGTCTGGCTACCACCAGATTGAAGTCGATCCTGCGGATCAGCACAAGACTGCGTTCAAAACATGCGACGGGCTTTATGAGTTCACCGTAATGCCCTTCGGTCTCACGAACGCACCAGCCACTTTCCAAAGCCTCATGGAGAAGGTCCTCCGCGATTGGCCGGTTTGTGGTAGTATACCTGGACGATATTCTGATCTTCAGCAAGTCCATGGAGGAACACCTCAAGCATCTTGAGGAGGTGTTCGCTATCCTCAAGAAGACGCAACTCCATCTCAACTTGGAGAAATCTTAGTTTGGGAAAGATAGCGTCCTCTATCTTGGGCACCGGTTGTCTGTTGCAGGCTTAGAGCCTGAGACAACCAAGATTGAGGCCATACGCGATTGGCCTCAGCCTGCGAACATTCGGGAATTGCGTTCTTTCCTTGGTCTCGCGTCATACTATCGGAAGTTTGTACCCCGTTTCTTCATCATTGCTCGTCCATTGTTGCGACTAACCAGTAAAAATGTGCCTTATTCCTGGGACGCCGCGTGTACGGAAGCTTTTCGAGCTCTCAAGGAAGCCTTCGTAAGTTACCCGGTACTCCGCATTGCAAATCCCCCAAACTGACATTCGTAGTTACTACAGATGCAAGTCAATATGGAATTGGTGCAGTACTGCAACAAGATGACGGTGATGGCTTGCGGCCATTCGAGTACTATAGCAAACGGATGCCCAGCGTAAAGGTAGCCACTTCCACCTACATGCGCGAACTCTATGCTTTGCGTATGGCGTTGGATCACTAGAAACATTATCTTTTGGGACGCCACTTCAAAGTCTTCTCAGATCATGAGACCTTGAAGTGAATCAAACAGCAAACTACCTTGTCCCCTACCTTACTTTGCTGGTTTCATGAGATTGACATCTTCGATTTTGAATTAAGACACAAAAAGGGTTGTTACAATCGAGTCGTTGATGCCTTGTCTCGCCACCCTGAGTACATGACTTGCCTTGTGAAATCCTACGACCTCCGGAAGAAACTGAAGGAGGAGCTCGTAGAACAGACAGCCAAGGATCCGGAACTTAGTTCCATCCTCGCGCGGCTGCGGGTTGATCCTAGTAGTCCGTCTGATTTCCACGAGTAACTTAGTTCCATCCTCGCGCGGCTGCGGGTTGATCCTAGTAGTCCGTCTGATTTCCACGAGTATGGGGGACTGATTTTTCGTTGCTACGGGAACCATGACCGTTTGTGTGTGCCCAACCACAAGCCTCTCCGCACAGACTTTCTAGATTTGGCTCATGGCCGGAGCGGGCACTTTGGCATGGCAAAAACGTACGCTAATTTGTTGAGATAGTTTGATTGGCCTGACATGAAAGAGACTGCTGAGAAGTTTGTGGTTGAATGTCAAGTCTGTCAACGGATCAAACCATGCAGACAAAAGCCCATGGGGCTACTCACATCTCTACCCATTCCCGATGGTCCCGGGGAGTCTGTCTCCATTGACTTCACTAACATGGGTAAGGTAAAAAAAAACGGTTATTCGCAAGTTATGGTGATTATTGACAGATTTTCAAAATTTCTTAATCTGATCCCTTCGCCGTCTCACGCCCCAACAGATCTAGTGATTCGCGAATTCCAACAGAAATACCTATTGCAATTCGGAACCCCGAAGACTCTTGCGAGCGATCGGGATCCGCGTTTCATTAGCACTGAATGGAAGGATTTCACGTCGCACCTAAGAATCAAACGGTGCATGACATCTGACCGACACCCCGAAGCCAACGGTTTGGCTGAGGAAATCAACCAGACTGTATTCCAACTTCTCTGTGCGTTGATCATTCCGGATCAGGAGACATGGGATGAAGAGTTGTATTCTGTCAAGGGGTTGTATAACAACTCTGTCCATTCTGCCACCGTCATGACACCCAACAGGTTGCACTACGGTTGACAGATCCGTAATTCGCTCTCCTACTTATTCCCTGAGCAGTCAACTGACTTAACACCCGTCAGGCCCGACTTCAGGGCTAAATATGACCGCTTGCTCAAAGTTGCTGTTGCATCTATGACCAAGCGACAACATGCCATGATCCACCATGCAAACAAAAAACGTCGACCATCGGAGATTCAGGTAGGAATCTATGTCTGGGTGAAGATGTCAGAATTCTCAAAGGAGGAGGGAGTCTCACACAAACTCCTCCCACTCTACTACGGGCCTTGGGAAGTTTTGGATGTAATTGGGGAGGATCACTTTGGCCCTTCGTAAGTTGTAGACGTGTCAGCTCACCTGCGCACATATCCTGTGTTCCATGCATCTAAATTGTACCTCCACCGTGATGCCGAGACATTCAATTACCGCGAAAATATGATCCATCGTGCAATCAAGGGAGGGCATGAGATAGATAGAATTAAACAGCATGTAGGTAAAGGAAGAAACAGATAGTACCAGGTTCATTTCATGTATCACCCGTTAGACGATCTCTACTGTATCTCCAAACAGAAACTGTTACGCAGCGCACCGCGCGTTGTTAAAGCCTACGAGCGACAAATCGCTGCTAACGCCACACCGAAGATCTCAGCAAGGCTCACTGCAACAGAGTATTCCAGGAATCGTTTTGCCTTGCTCGCCTATGATGCATTTGCCGAGGACTCAGAATGAGTTACTCGCTCGAAGGGACCTCGCTCTTGAGGGGGGGGTAGTGTGATAACCCGTCCAAACATAAACCGAAACACACAACTGATTTATGAGTTTTGCTCATAGACCAAATGCCCTACCGAGTTCCCCGCCTGCTAAGTCTGTGTGTGTGTGCTTGCTGGACTGCATGTCTGTCTGAGTGCTGGTTGGCTTGCGTGTGTGTGACTGAGCCTGTCTGAGTGCTGGTTGGTATGAGTGTGTGTGTGGCCTGCCAGGGCACTTGTTCGTTCGTTGGGCCCTCAGTACCGGTACTTACCTGTGGCCGTGGCTTCGAAGGGTTGCAGCGGGGAAAAAACACTCAAGTAGCGGGTAGGCCGGTACCGCACCTGACAGGGGGGTAAATATGCAGGTACCGGAGGCCGAGCAGAAGACGACAAAAGTGGCGTTTTGGAGGCCGGTAGTGTAGGCTAGGTCTAGCGGGTACCACTCTGAGTCTAGGGCCTGTAGGGCAATATCAGGGTATGCAATGATGTTCCCTCCAAAAGAGGAGGAGGTACCAGTTGCTTGGGAAGGCCAGCGGCCTGGAAGTCACCGCCCAAGAGGCAAAGCAGGCCGCTATATCTTCCGGCCGAGCGGAAGACCCGGCCTCTTTTTCGGTGTGCAAGTTTGGCGACACACCGGTGGAGC